TAAGTACAACATATAATTACATATTATTGGCACATTCATCACAAAAAAGTAGCAACAACAACATCATCGAAATCATAATTCATCGCTTTCATCATCATCATCATCATCATCATCATCATCATCACAATCATCATCGTAGTGGCCGTCGTCGTCATCTTATAACTCATCATCATGAAATAACCATCTCTTTGAATCAACATCAAATACTACATCATCATCCTCATCACCTGCATCATCATCATCATCAAAATATCAACATCATCGAAAACATCTATATCATCATCATCATCATCATCATCATCAACAACAACAAAAAACAACAACGTTGATCATTTACCATCTTAAACATGAAAGATTGTTCGAATAAAACATGGACATGATACGATTGAGTAATACAAAATTACGTAAAACAAACTTATAAGTTAAACAATCCTTCGTTTGTTAGCTTCAATAATAAATTTACCTCACAAGTTCAGTTCTTTTTCATTGTGTGTATTTACTAATTCGATAAGTTTGAATACAGATGGATTTTGCCAGTAATGATTTTTAATATATTTTCTCCTTAGATCTAGATGACGTGGGCAGGTAAAAAGAAAATGAAATTCATCTTCTATCTCTATTAGGTCACAGTTACTGCAATATCTATTATTCCTTGCAACATTCCTGTATCTTTCCGTTTCTATTGCAAGATTGTGAGCCGACATACGTAATTTGGTAATCATAATTCGACGTTGTTTTGGTATAAACTTTGTTAAATAATATTGCAACATCACGGTATCTACCATGTATCTATAGAGACCACATTTACTTGAGATGGTCAACGAGTTGAATAAAGTTTTTTGAAAACTGATATGCTTCTTTTAGAATACAATTTTCACAATTTAACAACTTAAACCAATATTTAAACATTCGAAGCATCTGATTGTTTGCCAGAGGAAGTCTTCCAAGCTCAAAATATACCATAGCATTGCACGTAGATTTTTTAATACACAGTATATTTTTACAAAATTCAATATGAACACTTTCTATTTCAACTCCTTTATTACTACCCCATATTTCACAGTCATAATATAATACACTACCCACATATGTGTCGAAGAGGTGTAGCATAGTTTTGATGTTTAAATGAATGTGTTTACATTTAGATCGTAAGGCAAAAAGCGCTTTACGACCTTGCTCTGCTACATGTTTAACCATGAAACTGATTTTTTTTTTATTAAATCAAAACAGAACCCCCAGATAATAGAATTGATCCACAATTGAAATTGTGTTGCCGTTATACACCCAGCTTTCTGGTTCTCTAATAATTCCACTATTTCTGAAAACCATAATTTTGGTTTTATCGGTATTAATTGTTAATTTCCACTTATTCGAATACTCACTTAGATTGTTCAAGAGGCTTTGTAAACCTTCGATTGACTCAGAAAATAAAACTAAATCATCTACATATAGAAGAAGAAATAAACTCAATTCCCCAAAACATAATGGAATGCTCCATTTTCTATAAAACTATTTTCAAAGTCATTTAAAAACAAAGAAAAAAGTAACGGGGACAAAATTTCCCCTTGCATCAATCCAACATTATTATAAAAAAGGTCGAACATTTGCCATTAAATAAAACACAAGATTTAACTTATGAGTATAAAGACTGAATTGTAGACAAAAATTTACCTCGAACACCCAGCTTTGTTAACTTGCACCACAGGCTTACTCTATCTATGAAATCAAAAGCCTTGCGGAAATCTACGAAACAACAATACAACCCCTTTCTTTCAGATAACGTTTTCGAGATTATAGTTTGCAAAGCGAAAATAGCATCCACAGTGCTTACCCCTGGACAGAATCCAAATTGTGCGTCTGTTAAGATATCATATTTAGTACAAACGTCAATCAAACGTTTGTTAAGTATGGATGTTAATAATTTGCACATACAACTAATTAGACTGATGCCTCGAAAATTATTAGGATCTGTTAAAGCGCCCATTTTATGCACAGGTACAAAGTGACACCTGAGATCGAAATCATTGATAAGCAGGGTACAATGAAATGTTTTTTTTAGTTCTTACAGCAAGGTGTTTTTGTGTCAAATTGTATGCCTAAATTTTGGAAGAATATTAAATGACATGTTGTACAGTCAAGGGCAGGAAGAGGTGAGCTCAGCTTTAACAAAGACCATAGCTGTATTTATAAGTTGAATGGGCTGACATGTACAAAAAAGCAAAACTGGTACATGTATAACAACACTTTTGTGGGGTATTGTTATACAATTTGAAAGGTAAAAGTTCTGGAGATGTTGTATGGTCCAAATATAAATTTATTCAAATAACTTTCTCTAGGTCGGTGGATGATTTCTGGAGTATCCAAAAACACACCCGTACAGTCCGATGCCTAGCTCCTAACTGATTACCAAACATGTAGAACAGTGATACATTGACAATTAACACAATAAAGTTAATTTGATCGACAGCTGCCACTTATCTCTCTATTCTGACTGGTGAGTACCCGAACAGGTAAGGCAATTAGCCTGTCCTTTGTCTGAGACTTAAGTGTCATACTTGGTAAGACCAGTTAATTTCATTACATAACATAATTGACTTGAAAGGTATAATGTATAAGATGGACACTATTACATGAGTTAATCTGACGACAATGAATCTAAGAAGCTACATTTACACATAGAGGTTTTCTTAAATGGTACCAATGTAATTAAATAGCTTTTAGGTATGAAATTGTTACTGAACGAAATTAAATGGCGAAAGTTTGTAAGAGGAAATCCAATATAATGAATGAGATGAAATGTTAAATTAATGTTCATAAATAGCACTATTATCATAAAATTCTTTATGATACATGTATCTTGTATTAATAGAGGACCTTAAATGTTTCCGACATGCTTGTTTAAAAAACAATCAAATCAGTTACGGTAACGGTGAACTGAACTCAGTCATTTCATGTTCGTTGATTTGAGTGCGAGTTGGTTTGTTTTACCAAGGACGTACTGATGTATTAATCGTGTATATGTTTATTAATTTAATGTACTAATATTTAATGCGTGGTTGTTTGTTTGGGATTTCACGCCATCACAACAGTTAGAGTCATATGAGGTCGGATGGTTCAAGAATATATCATTTAGGAATTAGCGTTCGAACATTGTTCCTAACCGTCTACAGACAAGATGTCAACTTAATTATATAATACAGAATTTGATTTGTAACCAATTACCATATACATAAAGACTAAATGTGGTAGAGGTGAAAAGGTCAAGCTTTCGTAGATATATGGCGAGATGTTATAGTTATACGATGTAGCTGACGTTTGTATCGACTAAAGGGTCTGTCTACAAACAATACAGCGGTCACACACGATGAAGTACAATGCAATACATGTCAGTGTCAACACACAGGGACATCAGTTTCAAGCTCAAGTTTATCTTTTTTCCAAATTTATTTGTTTGTTGGTGGATGAACGTCATCGCAACAGTCAAATGCCTATCGTTTATTTGTGTAGGATGTTAAGTAACATTTGAAAGTTTCTTAAAAAACGCTAAGTGATTGTATATCAATATAACAATTTCCAGGTTTTGTTCTCAACCAGATCCAACATTCTCATATAAAGGCATTTACATCAAGCAATCTACCTTTAATTCCACTTTTCTATAACTTAAATTAAAGTTTGTTAAAGAGTAATACATTCAAAAGTTTTAATATAATCAACTATTACACAATAACAGTTTTATTGCAAAGTATTTGTAAATTAAAGTATGCAAGGCAAATGAGTGATTCTGAGCGTGTGGTTACATGCGCCCATCTTTTTATGTGTGGAAGTAATGATTTGCAAAATATTATTAAACAACTAGTGCAGACCGGGGAAAACCTATCCTTATATTCAATATTTATTCGTTCAGAATCCTATGAATACGAGCAGGTGTATCTGAACTCAAGCCTGACCGTTAACTGCATCTAGTACTTCAACAAGTCAGAAAACGATATCTCGTTTGGGAAACAAAAGTCTCTATTTCTAACAATGAGACTATATATTTGCACCACCTCCCGAGGTCGGTTATAGAAAAGACTTGTAGCACCCGTTTTGTATTACTGTGTACCAGGTCACCATATAGTTAGTACAGGAGCAATGCCGATTGTTTACCCGGTACAATAGTTAGTGTAAATGACCCACGGGTGAAGCCGGTTTACAACAGAGGGTGCTACATAGCGTGAATACCTACGGGCACTCGAGACACGAAAAGTTATCGACATAATGGGTTTCACTACAGGACTCTGTATAAATATATATTTTGATCAGGTGTATACATGTGTACACATATGTGGTAGACTGCGGATCTGACGTCTTATATACATAGACTCAAAATACAACCTTCCGTGTTACACATATATTCTCTAGCCTTCATTAAAATTATCCTTTTGTACCTGAAATAGAAAACCCTAAAGATAAGCTATGCGATACCTTTTACATTATATCCTTCCCCATTTAGCTATGTAATACCCAGTCATTTCGATGGAAGCTACCCAGTGCTGTAAGTTTAAAAACGATGTTCTCCCATGCAAGTCAAAAATCGGTATATATAACATTGTCATTGCCATATATGCATGCATTTTGCATTTGCTGACTAAGGTCAGGCCTTGTCAATATACAGGGCCATATATGTATCATATATAGTCAATAGAGTTTTATGTAAAATAAATAGCCCAAACAATTTACAACAGGTAAACTACGGAAGGCGGACCAAATATGGCCGCTTAGCTGCTATAATAATCCCTCACTTCCACTCGCGATCTGCTTTTCTCATAGACCCTGAGTTGACGACAGGGAATATTCTCATGTAAGACAAATGACGTCTTCACATCTACAATAATCTTGATATATATATATATATATATGTTTTCTGGTTATAAAATAAAAGTATACATTTGTCCTTTCTTGTAACTCGCATACACGTGTAAGCCCGTACTGACTATATGATATATAATGAAAATACTTACACAACGATCCCTCTTGTTCGTTCTTTTCTGCCTCAGCAGGACTTTCCTTTGCGCCATAGTTGACTTATTTAACACTGCCCAGCAACTTTAAATCCTGTTTTAGTTTTAACAACGTTTTTGTAAAAATCCCTGCATCATGGACATGCAGACGGTTACCTGTATGTAACTCGTGAAACAGTAACACAGTGAGTTAGATTTTGTCAACACACTGTTTACATTCATACACGTACATAAGGATTGTCGCTCCACTGAGTTTAATGTGTGTATTGTACCGGCTAGTTTGTAACACCGGGGGGAGTATTCAATAGGCCAGAGGTATCGTTGAAATTCCCAGGGACTTCTTTCGTTGATGTCCTGTAAATAGACGGACAGACATGACTCATTGTAGTAGAATAAACTGGACATGCCTTATTTTAAAATTTATGTGTATTTAAAATGAATCTGAGGAGGAATACTGTCGATGCAAATTTTACCCGAGTCCAGGTTTCTAGCAGGATGAAGTCACATGGATCTCCAACTAGACCGCATGCACACACATAATGTAGTAAGCGAGACGTGACATCGTAAACACAGTCTACATATTCTACTCGCTCTGTCCTCGGCTCTTGTCGTTATTTAATCTTTTCACTTGGAAGAAACACGGAGAAGACGAAATGATAATAACTTTATTACACGTGTTTCAAACCACTTTAGTAAAGAGCTTTTCCTTGTTTTCACTTAGTACCACTGTTTACCTCGTGTGGCTTTCTGTGACACCAACACATTTTTAAATATATACTTCTCATATTTGTATTAATAGTCACTATTTTATGTAATGTGGTTGGCTCATCTTGTGAACTGTCAGTCCCTGAGGTCGTCTGTAACATTATATAGTTGGAATGTTTTTCTTGGCAGGGTGTACACTGAAAATACTAGTTTTTAGTAAAATTGATCTATATATAGCCAAGCATTGTTAAACAAGGGTTTCACGTTTCACTGTGTTTTACGTATGTACCAGTCTGATTCTAGGGGTTTCTTTGTATAGATCACTCCAACGCTATCTTTGTTTCCATTGATATTTATTCCTCATATATTAAACTCTAAAACAATAAATAGCATCAATAAGAAACATATTCTGCATTTAAATACCTACAGTAGCTTATAAATTACAATGGAATCGTCCATATACAATAACGCAACAGGTTAAACGCATCTGTCGCATGCTACTAACTTTACACTTCACTATATAAATACTGCCAAAACGTTATACTGAATAACTCGCGCGTTATCACTACTCCAATTAAATAGCCGATATCATACAACCATTGCGGTTAAGAGTATCATAATTAAAATTATACAGTTACATTAATAATAGTTTAACAACAATACAACTATTTATATAAAACGGAATCACTTCAAAACCTACCTCTTCATAGACGAAGAGGGTCTAAATCCAGGGAGACAAACCCGTACGTGAGTACGTGACCAAGTAGCCAATCTTGCGCATACAATGCTACAAATAATAAAATAATGACAATTACTAAAGATGTACCAGTATCGGACGTTAACAAGAATGTTTAATATAACCATGATGTAGACCACTAATCAAGTTAACCAAAATCATTGTGGATAAAAATAACGAATAGCACAAAATGGCGGGAAAGTCAAATTTCAAATAACCGTATTAATTGAATTGGACAATTTCAATTAATTTATAAAGAATATAATTTACATCAGAACTATATCAAAATGTTATCACATGTGATATAAATAATTTACAATCACTAAGATCTTATTAAAGTACTCACAATTCAGAATTCCCAGCTCACTAATAAGCACTAAGTCTGCACAATTACACAACACGTCCGATACGGCCTTAAACTTGTACGGGAGTGACAACGACCCCAGAAGCGCAGGTGCGCACTGACCCATGGTCAATCTTACACAAAAAAAGATTGACACATGAACCTTGACAAACAGGTTTGCACAGGTGTCATTTGATTTAAAGCAAAGTGTACATGTATATAGATACGCTGTATAGTAAAAGCACAGCACTTAATACTCTGCTCTTAATGAAGAATCAAGTTTAAAAATAACCAGCTTTTCAGGTAAAAGATATTACTGTCATTAAGTAATGACACTGCTACACATATGTGTTGGAACACTTTAGACAATCACATGAAGGTGTCGTTATATTGACCTCAACATCACTAATGAGTCGACAAAATAAATGGTGCAGTAAAATGCTAACTTTGGCTGCCTAAGTCGGCAAATCAAATGCAGCATTAAAACCATCCCGGTCTGTGTAGAGTATGACATATAAATAGAATCTTACATTCGTGTCCATGTCATGTTGAATTTATTGAACGTGTTTAATATATTCAATATTACATGGACACGAATGTAAGATTCTATTTATCACATAACATTCGTAACTTGGAAAACAAACCCTTCGGACACAATTACATGTATCATCTGACTATGTATACATGTAGGTCAAACAAAGTATAACAACACTTTTGTGGGGTATTGTTATACAATTTGAAAAGTAAAAGTTCTGGAGATGTTGTATGGTCCAAATATAAATTTATTAAAATAACTTTCTCTAGGTCGGTGGATGATTTCTGGAGTATCCAAAAACACACCCGTACAGTCCGATGCCTAGCTCCTAACTGATTACCAAACATGTAGAACCGTGATACATTGACAATTAACACAATAAAGTTAATTTGATCGACAGCTGTCACTTATCTCTCTATTCTGACTGGTGAGTACCCGAACAGGTAAGGCAATTAGCCTGTCCTTTGTCCGAGACTTAAGTGTCATACTTGGTAAGACCAGTTAATCTCATTACGTAACATAATTGACTTGAAAGGTATAATGTATAAGATGGACACCAATATTACATGAGTTAATCTGACGACAATGAATCAAAGAAGCTAAATTTACACATAGAGGTTTTCTTAAATGGTACAAATGTAATTAAATAGCTTTTAGGTATGAAATTGTTACTGAACGAAATTAAATGGCGAAAGTTTGTAAGAGGAAATCCAAAATAATGAATGAGATGAAATGTTAAATTAATGTTCATAAATAGCACTATTATCATAAAATTCTTTATGATA